TTGAGTAATAAACAAATCACAAGAACTACAATTTCAAATGTAAATTAATAATCTGTCTGAATAATTGCTTCTATTGACTGGCAGCTAATAGAGATCACATGGAAGGAAAAACATCCTTTGGATTTGACATTTGCGTGGACAGCATCCGAGAGGGAAAGTTGGTTTAGTTTTTCTATTTTATCTTCTTTGTTTTTAATTTTACTCTTTTTCCTTCTTTGTAGTTTTCCCAATTTAGGATATGAAAGATGTTATCTGTCAATTCAAGATTTGAAAAATGAGAACTACTTCATATCAGTTTAGGAGCTGAATCGTTGAAACAATCTTAAACTAACAAAATCATGAATTTCAAGTCATTTTACTTTTTATTTATTTTTTATACCAATTTTGTGTGGAAGTTCTCTCACAAATAATTATATATTTAATCTAATTTGATAAAAGATCAAATACTAGTATATTATAATATCAGAGTTGATTTTTTTGTCTTGTTTTGATAGTTTCAATCTTTTAGGTCGTAAGTCGGTAGTTTTTATCCTCTAGATCCTGAATAACGTTATGGATTGATAAAAACTCCTATGTTACAGTTTCTTACTTTTTTTTCTCTATACAGTTATCAGAGGGCTGATCCAGACTTTGTAATGCTGACATCTTCTAAGGAGCATCTGCCAGAAGGGATACATTGGGAAAATGGAAAGAGGCCTGTCTTTGAGTCTGATATAAAATCTGGGAATATTGAAGATATCCCAAGAGAAGTGCGACCCTTGGAAAACAACTTGTAGTTTCATCTATCTAGGGTCTATACAATCTTTACCCAAAAATCTTGACTATATTGATGGTAGTTGAGTTCACCAGTGGTAATCTTACTTTACTTGTTAGAGCCACAATAGTTTTAATTGATAATAAATAGAAGATCATCACTTTGTTTCAATGAAGAGGTATTTTAGTTGGTAATCACGCGACTTAATTACATTTACCAACTATAATTGTGTCAATTTTATTACATCATAGTGACTATGAAATAAGTATCTATAGTTCATATTTTTGTCTACATGTTTTTAGTACTCTAATATTTTAGAAAAAGCTCTATTTTATAATTAGAGGTTTTGAGAAAATTTGAAGTTAGGTTCTTGTCAGCCGCATATAAGATGAGTCTACTCGATCCGATTCTGAGACTCAGTAGGCATGGATCCAGAACACGAATTCTAGACTCGGTGAATGTACAAATCGTGTCTAGAGGAACAATATAGAGTTTAAGGTGTACAGGTCTAAAACACTACATTTCAACTCATGCGCGACTCGTCACTCACTTATGAAGTTATAAGAAATATTGCGGCATAACATAACATTGAAATGTACCTATTGGGAAGGTAGAAACGGAATACCGAGAATTTAGTTAGGGTTTAGGTGAGGGGGTAAATGAATGGGAGTGGTGGGTTAAAAAAAGAATTTTTTCCTTCTTCCTCACACTCGGGATGTTTTTACTTGGACTGTAATTTGCTGGTATGGTCTGTTTAAGTCTGGTCTGGTCTGGAACTGAGGATGTTTTCCTTTGAACTGAAATTTGTTGGTCTGGTCTGAATTGGTCTGATAAGTGTCTAGTTTCTGTGTAATTTATAACTACGGAAGTCTTGTCTGGTCTAGTGTGGTCCGGTCTGAGATTGAAAACAATCCAAAAAACATCCTGAAAACTGTCCAAGTAAAAACAACCTCACTACACGTCTATATTGTTGCATTGATAGTTTTAAGCTTTGTTGATCTCCATATGATGTCAACAATAACACATTTGTACAATCGATATAAGAACATATAGTATCACATTTGTAGAACTCTAGTATATTACCGAATAACCTTTAACAAATAAAAACACATTTAACTTTTAATAATAAGTACATTAACAAATAAATATATAACATCAAACTAATATAATTTTAACAAACTAGGAAATAAAAAGGATATAATTCTGACTCATGTAACAATGAGTGTAACTCTGTTATACTTTTGTGCCGCATGTAACAATGAATGTAGCTATCGTATAAAGTTTATCATTCTGACTTATTGACTAGTGTAACATAACAATATATCAAAACGAGAATGAGTGTGTGAGTCATTCTCTTAATTCTGAGTTTTCCAATAAAATAAGACTAAATGCTTATATATATACCTAATTTATTAGATGATTTGCATTAGTTTCATTTAATTTTAAAATGCTTTCTTATCATTTTAAATAATCATATAATTGACATTTTACGATGTTTAGATTTGTGAATGTTATTTATCATCGTTCTTACTTACTTTTCACAAAATTGATAAGTATCATTCAAATGAAATGAAATTCATAGAATTGTGCAAATGAACAAAATTCATTCATAAATATCTATGAACTTAAAAATATTATTTTTTGAAAAATCCATATACGAGTATTAAAAGATCCCTATACATTGTGCCCTGCAAATGTCATTCATAAAAATCCATATACCACATAACAAGAGAAAAGGGTCAGATTGGTCCTCGAGGTTGCATACAGGGGTCAAATAAGTCCTTATATAGGAGGTTCTGTCCGGCCGTCGCCATTTGGGGCGGTTCCCGATTGAAATTTTTGATGAAATTTTTTGAGCATCTTATTCATTAAGTGTAGTTTACTCATATCAAATTTCAGCTAACAATTCAACCGGGAAGGCATTCAAATGAATTCTTGAAGATAATTGCGCAGTTATCTTCAAGAATTTATTTGAATCTCTTCTCGATTGAAGTTTTAGCTGAAATTTGATATGAGTAAACTAGACTTAATGAATAAGATGCTCAAAAAAATTCATTATACAATTCCACCAGGAACCGTTCCAAATGGCGACGGCCGGACAGAACCTTCTATATAAGAACTTATTTGACCCTTGTATGCAACCTCGAGGACCAATCTGACCATTTTCTCTTGTTATGTGGTATATGGATTTTCATATAAGGTCTTATTTAACCCTCGGATGCAACTTAGAGCACCACACAGTTTACCCCACATAACACGGTTTATGACCCTGAAAATGTCCTGTGCCCGGACTCCGCCAAAATGCAGAGGGAAAAGGGGCAAAAAAAACCCCTAGAGTTGTCACTAAAGGGTATTCAAGCCCATGAACTTATTTTTGGAGCATAAATCCCTCTATTCCATTAAAAGAGAGCAAATGCCCACTTCTCTAACGGAAATAGATAACGGCTTTTGCCATGTGAGAATTTGAGATGCCAAATACACCTTAACTGGTCACCCAAGCACATCCAAATCTATACTACGCATTTCTCTCTCTTTTTTTTTTGTGAAAAATGTCATAAATAAACATGGGGCAATTTAACTAACTAAATGTCTAACTACTGAGTTGGATGTTTTTCACTGGATTGAATTTTTTTGGTCTAGTGTAATTTGGTCTGATCGGTTTTAGCCTGATCTAATATGTTATAGAAATTTTTACTTGAATTTATTTCGGCCCCAAATCAAAAGAGATCCGACCTGATCAGACATAAACAGACCAAACCTCAATGATTATAAAATACATAGAAACTAGACATTTGCCATATAAGAAAAGTTCAAACCAAATCATATCTGACTTGATCAAACCAGAAAATTTCAGCCAAAAAAAAATCTTAATCTAGTCTAGTGTATAATGTTATTTTAATTTATACTATGTATTACTTATACTACGTATATTATAGCTTAAATCTTGTCCCAATGAAACTTTTAATGTAATTTCTGAATATGTATATTTTCATATTAACTTTTGTTTATAATCTATTTATAACTAATTTTAATAATTTATTGTTAAAAACACTAAATTTCCTTTCAAATTATTGTAAATTATATCTTCTCGATTTGTACAATATATCTTCTATAAGTAAAATGGGCAAAAACATTATTGTATGATATAGAAGATACAATAATTCTCGTTCACTATTAATTATTTATAATATACCCACTAAAAATGTAGGGTTTTTTACAAGAATATTACTAAAATAAAACATATTTACATAAATATGACTATTCATTACTACAATGTGATGGTGTGGTAACTTAAGATCAAAACTTGAACATGAATTACTATGATTTCATTACTACTCTAGTCAATAATCATACTTTTGTAAATCATCTTTATTTTGGTCATATTTATGTAATTATTTCAAAAATGTATGATAAGTCGAGAAGAATATTTCACAATAATTTGGAACGGATTTTATTATTTTTAATAATAAATGAATATAAACTAATTATATATGGATTAATATATAAATATTCCCTTTGTCGCGTAGAAAGGTTCTCACGCTATTTACGATATTTAACTGGTCATAAAGTTAACCGATCCTTGTTCGTAATTAGATTTTTTTAGTAAATAAAATTTACATATTAAGAAACTACATTAAAATTTTAGAAAGTCGTAAAAGAAAACTCAAATTTGATAAAAGTCGAATATATAAAGTAAAAGATTAAGAAAATTTATGTTGTCAGTAGAATAGCGGACGAGAACCTTTGAATGAGACAAAGATAGTAATATAAAATAACATTTCAGACAATAGCAGATTATGAATTTTTATTTAGACTGAAACTTTCTGGTTTGATCTAGTCTAATATGGTCTGGTCTTATCCGATAGATGTTTGGTGTGTATGTATTTTATAATTGTTGAGGTCTGATGTGGTATATTTATGTCTGATCAAGTCTGCTTTGTTCTAATCTGGGACTGAAATAAGTTCAAATAAAAACTTCTAATATATATTGGATCGCACTAAAATTGATCAGACCAAATTACCCCAAATCAAAAAACTTGAATACAGTAAAAAAAACATTTTGAATCTATAGTTCGAAATTTAGTTAGTTAATTTTTCTCATGTTAATTTAAGATATTTGATCACAAAAAAATATAAGCTTGAATTGGATGTGTTGTAGACCTGTAGTGACAATTTGGAGTGAATTTGTCTTTATTTCAAACTCTCACATGGGCTACGTTATCTACGTATATTCACCGTTAGAGAAGGGGCATTTGCTCTCTTTAAATGGAATAGAGGGATTTATGCTCCAAAAATAAGTTCTCAAAGAGCGATTTATGCTCCAAAAATAAGTTCATGAAATAGTCAGCGGCGCCTGATGCGCGGGTTCAGAAATTTTAGTTGTCAAAGAGCAACTACGGAACTACCGCTTCTCCATCACAATCTCAGCGCATTAGAATCAATCTCGAAGAATTCCCCTGAAGATGGGGAGCTACTTTTCGATCGTCCGAGAACCGCCGCCACCGGTGGTGTTGGTTCCTCCACTCTTCGACTATCCTCCGCTCGGTGCTCGCACAAGGTTCTCCAACCTTGTTCAGTGTGATGGTTTTTTTTAAGTTATCGTAGACATACTTTCTAAACATCGACACTTTATTTTCTGTCCTGCGTAATATACTTCAGTGTCTCTGGCTGATAATTTAATTGAGGACCGTTAGGGATGTAATGCAGGATGCTAGAATCATCGTACAACTTGTTATTTGGTAAGCTCGCGTTGAGATGCCTCTTTGAGGACTACTTTGACGAGGCTAGGGACTTTAGCACCAGAATTATGCTCAGGCCCATTGATGATCCTCATGTTGATTTGATTGCTACTGTATCCTACAAAATTTTCAATGGCTATGCTTACTGATTGGCAAATATTCACTTTACCAGAAACTTGCAATAGAAAACTGATGAAGGGTCAGAGTTCTGACCCATTAAGTGTATCCTTAGCAATTTCAGATTGCACGTCCACTTGCTAACAAACGCAATGCCGGTGAAGAACTTGTAGGGAATGCACAATTTAGGTGGCAAAGGTATTATTACATTATTATATACCTCCTGAAAGTTAATATTGTTACATTGTGTATATGGTGTAGTTGAACATATGATTTTTATTATTAATGGTTTTTATAATTTTAAATGGACTCCAGGGATGTTGATGACCCTAATACATTTATCGATCTTTCTGTATCAAATTCTGAACCGTAAGTATATAAGTTTTATAAGAATTTCAACTTTTGTTTGTGTGTAGTTTGTATAAGAGATTCAATATGACATATTGATAATTTTCTGTCCTTCTATTGTCATGGTTGCATGCGTAGAATTCTACTGATGAGATCATCTTCATTCTATCCCAAATATGGGGTTGGTGCTTTTGGAATTTTTCCAGTACTGCTAAAAAGAAGGTTTGTTCGGAAAACCAAAACACAAATAAAATTGGAATGAATCTCCACTGGTTTCTATCTCACATTTACATGATACTTTTTGCAGAGTGTCTCCAGAAGATTATGGTGTTATGGGTTTGAGATATGGCTCTTCAAACCTGTCCTTTGGAGCCATGATGTTGCCGTTCTCTTGTACAAAAACTTCCTATATGCATTTATCAAAACAAAAACAAAAAATCTTTCACAATACTTTCTTAAGCTTCATGTTAATTTAATCTGTAAATAACAGAATCAACCTAATACTTTTTAAGCCGTTTTGACTTATTCCTAGCTGCAATTGATGTTCCGAAAACTGCATGGTTGGTGAGCAAGGTGGGAAGGTTAACTGCAGGGGTGCAGTATGAACCACAATGTACCAACTCAGATTATACTGAAATTCATCTTTTGTAAAGGGTACATAAATCAGCAACATGAATATTGATAATATGCTCTCTTTTCTATTTCATGTTTAAAGTAGTTGGAAGCCAAGGTGTGCCGAAATATAAGGACTTAGCGAATTGGAGTTGTGCAGTTGGCTATGGAATTGGATCTGGAAGTCCTTTGAGCCCATCATTCAATTTTGGCCTGGAGCTTTCTAGAAATTCACAGGTTTTTTTTATCTTCCAATCACTATAATTTAATAATTAATAAATTCCCTTATTTTTAACTTGTTTCATCACTTCATCACATTTCATAACCATAAAAGTTGTTTTGCAGTTTATTGCTTCATTTTACCAACATGTGGTTGTTCAAAGACGGGTAAGTGCTCATTTTCATTGTCTCTGAATATAAAGGCACTTAACTTGCATCCAGAAGTTGATAGTTTATCAATATCTAGGATATAGTGCACATATATTGAAAGATTGATAGGTGTTGTGTAAAAACATGTAGTTTCTGATATAAAAATAACTGGAAACCCCATTTACCAGACCAAATTCTTTCATGTAGGATTCAAATAATTTTTTTATGGAGTTTAGGTGATGCTAAATATCTGGATTCACATGAGTTAAAGTAGTTAATTTGTCATACTTCTAGCTTTGAACTTTTAGAGTGCTACTCTAATACTCTCTTCGTCCCAAATAAAAGGAACATTGTGGATTTTGAAGTTTGACCAATGATAAAGTGAACCTCTGACCTCTCCCTGACATTATACTAACTAAAATAAGAAATTATTATTTTTTTTGTAAAAAAATTTATTGCCAATACATACAGTAGTAAAAAATGCTTTTGGTTCTCGAGTAAAATGTCACTTTTAGTATACTCCACATAAATCTAAATAAAGTTGAGAAACTAGTCAAATTTCAAAACATAAACAATAAAATAAGATGTGTATAGCTGATTCTCTCAAAGTAAATGAATCCTCAAACAAACAGAGAAAATGCGACTCGGTCTCACCCAGAAATGGAAATGGAAGTTTTTAACTCGATCTTTTGACCAGCAATAGGCTTCACTAGGCAAAAAACTTGTACCCCATAATTAGGAGTAACAAAATTGCAACGGCTGCAGCCGGAGCAGCCCATACCCAATAGTTCATAGCCTTCTTACGTTTTTGTATGACTTTGTGAATATCAGATGATCCTTTTCCATGTCTCCTCTGCCTCACAGTGTTCGCTTTCTTCTCTTTGCTCTTCGGTTCAATAGCAGTCTCAACTTTCTCCTCTGACTTCTCCCGTTCAGCATCCTCAGTAGTTATTTCACTTTCCTCCTCTGTAGATTCATCGGGATCATTACCACCTCCACCTCCTTCTTTTCGGCCCTCCTCTCACGGTCCTTGAGCTTCTTTTCAGCTTCGTTCTGAGCTTTTAGTTGTGCTTTAGCTGCTGCTTTTTCTTCTCTTTTCTTATTCCTCTCTAATGCCTCCCGATATTTCAAAAGCGCTTCCTTTTTTTTTGGCTGCCTCAAAGCTTCTTCATCAATTTTGTCCTCCTTAACACTTAAATGCTTATCCTTAGAGACATCTGTTGCCCCGGGGGTTTCGTCTTCATCATCATTATGGACATTTACCCCCATGGATAAACTCTTTTTGGGTTTGTTTGTCTCTTCCTTCGATTGTTTGCTGTTATTACTACTACTACTACTACTACTACTATTATTATTATTATTATTATTAGGAGAGAAGCATCAGATTGTGGAGGAGCTGAATCTTCCTTTGATGGCTTCTGGTTTGTTGTTTTCACCAACGCCACGGTTTTTGCGGGAGGTGCCTCCGGAACAACAGTGGCTTCTCATCAGGGTTTCTCATCCTACCATCCTTACTCAACTGCATCATATCAAGTGAATGTAGAATTCTCTTCTCATAGTCATCTTTGAATGACTTGTCGTTGCACCATTGGGTCATGAATTTCTCAACCTCTGTTTCACTAAGCTCTTTTGGAGCAGCGATATCCTTCTTATCGGCAAGCTGTCTGGATTCAAAATTGAGCTTCCTATACTCGAAGAAAGAAGAATTCCCTTGCTCACGCTGTTTCCTCAAATCCACAATGCCTTCATAGATTTTGTCTCTTTCCTGAGCCAATGCATCCAATTCCTCCTCCAATAAATTGATATCTTTATTCAAGGCATCACACTCATCATCAATTTGCTTAAGCTTAGCACTAAGAGCTTGTTTCTCCTTCTGAACTCCATCCAGATCAACACCTATAAGCTTGACCTGGCTTTGGATAGACTCTTTTTCACTCATAGATTCCTCAAATTTTGCCCTCTCAGCAGCATTTGCGATAACTTTCTCCCTTGTGCCTTCAAGTTGTTTAATTTCTCTAATAATTTGCTTCTCTTCACTCATAATTATGCTTTCATGTTGAATACGATACCCCAGACTTTTAATATAATCATTGAGCTCAACCTCAGATGGAAAAATAACAGGTCCCCTTTCTCTGTCTCTGCTTCCACCACCTCGCAACTTGCTTAAAGCTTGCTGCAAAGGTTCCACCACTTTTCTTTTCTCATCCATCTGTGACCTGTACTGCTGTCTTTCAGCACATTAAGACATCCTTTCATTATTTAGCTCCGACCGAGCTGCCTTTTTGGCTTTTAAAGTATCAATCATCCTGCTTTGTGCTTGGTTCTTCTTTTGAAGTTCTTTCTCAGCAAGATCCATTTTGGCCTTCAGCTGCTGGTCTTCAAATGACCGATGTTTAACAAAATAGAACGAATGGATCTGCTGAGGTTCAGGCCAATCCTCAACAACGGCATCCTTGGGAAGGTTGATTGTAGGAGCACTTTTAACCTCCTCCTTAATTGCCTCCTCTGTTCCATGGGAACCAAATTTTATGGCCTCATTAGGTACAAAACCATTTTCCTTCAAAAAACCGTTGTTGTCACCTCTATTCTCAACCGAGGCACGAGCCAACTTAGTTTCCACATCTGCACACATGATTTCAATGAGATGCTAGTTTCAGAGTTCCTTGAGTGCCTTGGATCCCGTAGAGTTCCATGTGTGGAAACAGTAACATAAGGAAATAGAGAGAGGGAGAGAGAAAAAAGAGGGCCAGACCCCAACATAATTTAGAAATTAAAAACTTACATATTCAGAAACTACATTAAAACTTTTATTCAATATCAAAAGTTTGAATTTAAATATGATAAAAATTGATATATGAAATTATAGATCAAAAGTGAACTATGTTGACTAATTGATAGTAAACTGTTACTCTCAATTTGGGACAAAGGTAGTAGACCAAGGTGCTTTTCTGTGACTTTGCAGGTGAAGAATCCTCTTGAAGAGGACGATGTGGTTGGAATAACAAACTATATTGACTTTGGCTTTGAGTTGCAGACCAGGTACTTTTGTATAGTGTTAAAGAATCGTTAGTAAATATAATCTGAGTTCTAATTTGTTTCAAATTTTTACTCAAGGTTTGATGATAAAAAAACAACAAATAGTATCAAAGATTCTACCTTTCAAGTTGCTGCATCTTGGCAAGCTAATAAAAACCTCTTGCTTAAGGTAACCCATCTCTCTCTGTTCACATTTACTTTTCTTGTTAACGTTTTAATTTGTGGATATAAGATTGACAGTTAACTTTTACAGGGAAAAGCCGGGCCGCTCAGATCATCAGCAGCTTTAGCTTTTAAATCATGGTGGAAACCTTCATTCACTTTCAGCATATCAGGTATGTGTAACATGGGATGATGGGAATCAGAGTATCTTCAGTTAGTACAAGTTTTTGTGAGTGCAGATGAGGTCTCCATATTGTTTTTGAGTAAAAAGACAGATTAAAAGAAATGCAATTTCAAAAGTAAATTAATAATCTGTTTGAATAATTGCTTCTATTGACCTACAGCTAATAGAGATCACATGGAAGGAAAAACATCCTTTGGATTTGGCATTTGCGTGGACAGCATCAGAGAGGGAAGGTTGGTTTAGTTTTTCTGTTTTATCTTCATTGTTTTAATTTTACTCTTTTTCCTTCTCTGTAAGTTTATCCAATTTAGGATATGAAATAGGTTATCTATCAATTCAGGATTTGAAAAATGAGGACTACTCCATAGTAATTTAGGAGCTGAATCATTGAAACTATCTAGGAGCTAGGGCTGACAAAATCATGAATTTCAAGTCATTTTACTTTTATTTATTTATTTTTATACTGATTTTCAATGAATGTTCTCTCACAAATTATATATTTAATTTGATAGTGTCAATCTTTTAGGTCGTAAGTCGGTAGTTTTTATCCTCTAGATCCTGAACTGATAATAAAGTTGTGGATTGTTAAAAACTTATATGTTACAGTTTCTTACTTTTTCTTCTCTCTACATAGTTATCAGAGGGCTGATCCAAACTTTGTAATGCTGACACCTACTAAGGAGCATCTGGCAGAAGGGATACATTGGAAAAATGGAAAGAGGCCAGTCTTTGAGTCTGATATAAAATCTGGGAATTTTGAAGATATTCCAAGAGAACTGCGTCCCTTGGGAAAAAACTTATAGTTTGATCTATCTATAGTCTATACAATTTTTGACTATATTAGTGGTAGTTCAGTTCAACAGTGGTAATCTTGCTTTATTTGTTAGAGCCACAATAGTTTTAGTTGATAATAAATGGTTTGAATATGTTTCTAGTCCTTGGCTCCTTGCAAATATAGTACATTTTGTTTTACATCTCTGCAAAATTATTATTTTTGTTTTTTTCGACCCTGCAATTGATGTTAGTTTTTCTTCTAGTAGATTTCCTCAAAATATAACAACTTTCGCTTGACCTCAAAATAATATCGACCCTGCAAAATATAACAACTTTCGTTTGACCTCAAAATAATCTTGACTAATAGATTTCCTTTAATTATTTGTCATGTTATTAAAAAAGTATTTAATTTTTTTTCAAATGCTTTTAATATATATTTTGAAACTGTGAATGTTTAGTTTGACAATATTTTAGCTTTCATATTAACCTCAAGAAATTATAAAAAGCCAAATTTAAATTTTTCTAGTAAATTTATGCAACTGACAATAATTTGTTTTCTAAGTAGAGTGGTTTTAAAATTGAGAAGGACTAAAAACAAGGGAAAAATGGTATATAACCTTTAAAAATAGGCCACTTAAAGTTAGTAGCCTCTATTTTAATTAATAAACTAGATAGCACTTTTTTGTTAATTAATATAACCTTCGTCCATCATCATGTATACAAATATAAGTGGCCGTTTTATATAATCAAATAATGGTGCTAACTGCTAAACGAAGGTGTTAACCGCATTCGTTGACTCCCATTGTTCAAGAGAAGCCGACAAAGCAGTCCGACACATATACATCCATAGTGTGCAGATTGAGATGAAAGAAAGGTTAACTTTTTGATGGGAAAATGGAGAAGTTGGAATTTCTGACTTCACCAAATAATCATTATTGTCTTGAGTTTAATGAAAGTATTCTTCGTAGTTATTAAAACAAGAAGTAGATTAGGAAAATGCCCAAGGACCAAATAGCGCTTGCCTGCTTGCTACATAGAGGCGTGATCCCTCCATACTCAAGGAGTTTGCGGATTTATCGGCAACTGCCATTAGGTTATCTAGCTTATTTTTACTAATCCATAACATTAACTTAACGTCACCTATTTAATTGTGTATATATACCCAATTTTCTCTAAAAACAAAATGTGCATGTTATAAGGATGAAAAACAAAAAAAAATATTATTTTGCGGAGATTTAAAACAAAGTGTGTCATTTGTAGAGACTAAAGACATATTTAAGCTATAGTATATAGAAGAGCACCACTTCGTTTCAATGAAGAGTATCCCTTATTCACAACTCCTCTGTGCTTTATTTGTCGATTTCTGCCTTGAAGAAAAAATCCATCTACCTCCTCAGAATGAAATTACGGCTGCTCTTTGCGTTAACAAACTAACACAAATGATATTGCCTGCTTCAACTGTAAACGGAAGAGGTTATTTACTGGAAATAGACCTTCATATTTGTTACGGAATATTAATGAGAAAAATGTTGATTCAGTACACGAACTTGTATCAAGGGGAGTAAAGAGTCACTACACCATATATGGCCTATAACAACACTAATTTAAAGTGTTGCTCCAAAATTTTGGGCAAAGGCTACGGTTAAGTGAGTGTAAGACATCATTAAATAATAAGTGTTGCCATAGAGATATTCACAAGTTGTAAGTGTGAAAAATAATCTAAAGCGACAATTCTTTTCTAATAAATGTTGCACTAGAGTGTGTAGAGCTGAACAATAGTCGTAATAGAGGCTATTGCTGGTAACATTAAAAAAAAGTTACCATATATTAAAATGAGAACATTTTAATAAAATATAAAAAGTCAACACCATATATTTAATATGTTTTAAATTAAAGTTAATTATATAAAAGTAATAAAACCAAGGAGTAATATGCACATGTTCAAACCATTTAGAATATTTTTATTTGAACTTATTTCAGTCGCAAACTAGACTAGATCAGACCATACTGTACCAGTTCAGACCAGACCAGATCAGATCAAACTTTGATAGTTGTATACTATACATAGACCAAATATTTATGAGACCAGACCAGAAAATTTTAGTCCTAATAAAAATATTCTTAATGATGTTCTTACTTGGACTCAATTTTTCTTGTCTAATCTGGTTTGATCTGTTCTGATTTGATCTGGTCTGGTCTTAACTGGTACAGTCTGATGTAGTATGAACTCAGTTTTTACTTGGAGTAAATGAAATTATTTTTTAAAACTGTGGTATTTTTCTTAAACATTTTCACTTAATTAACCTTTTCATTTTTAGGCAATTTGGGTCTTAACAAAAAAAGTGGAGGGAAATCAATTCTTTTTGGGATTTTCCCCCGCTCTCTCAATCTTTCCCTCTAAAGTTAGTACTTTTCCGATTTTCCCTGAAAATTTGTCCTTAGCCATCTTTCTCTTGACTTTCAACTATCCTCTAAATTTCTCTTCGGCCGCCAACATGGGTTTGCTATTTCCTCTTACGGCAACACTCTACCGTCCTCTTAGTAGCTAGAATCTGCAGCTTCGCCTTCTATCTCGTGCCTAGGTACATCAAGATTCTTCTATTCCATTGACTCCGATTCACACAACAAGCAAGGTTAGGGTTATGAAAATTTTGCAAAACGTCATATGCTAATTTGTTCAATCTTTACTCTTAGTGATAAATTTGAGGTTTCTTTTTACGTTTTCATTTCAGTTTTTGTTTTTATTTTATTTTTTAATATATCAAAGTTATTTGACTTGGAATGGTTATGTGACTATACTTTTTCATGTTTGGTGGCCGGAGCACATACCAGGATACGCATTTAGTTGTTAGGGGTGACTTTGAGGATTGATTTTGCTAGGAAGCACTTCAGAAGCCTTATCAATAGGTTGCAAGGTTGGCTTTTTCTTGAAAGTATCCAAATTTATAGTTCCCAAGGAAATCTTCCTATCTAATATAGCAATATGGGTTCAAGTAGTTATCTATTCAATTTCGTATTTGGGTGTTAAATAATATTTACAATATATTACTTTTTAGTTTTTATTTCTTCAATTATGTATAGGAAATTAAATTAGCAATAATGTATAGGAACTCATCACCGAAGTGTCATGTTAATTACCAATAATGACTAATAAATAGACTCGTTGAACCTTGAACCATGGCCCTGCTAGCTGCTTGCTGGAAGAACAAGCAAATGTAAAAAATTGTATATTTTGTCTGTCCAAACGAGTAGGAAGAAATAGTCTACAGAGGATAGGTATTCTGTTAGGGCGAGTTTGTTTTATCAGGGGTGTGGTCTTCTTGATTTTTTAGTTACAAGGATAGCCAACTTCATGGAAGATACTAGTCCAACTGTCCAAGGATAGCCTTTCATTCAGATATACTACTACACTCCTTTAATAAAAAAAAGGCAATACATTTCTTCAATTATGTATAGGAACTCATCACCTAAGTGTATTTGATTCATCCTTTGCAAATTTCTAATTACAATAATTATTTGAAATCACCCATATATGAATAATTAAGTAAATCAATATCTTTTAAATTAAGTAAGTCATATATTTACCATATAAGTGTAGCTTATAACTTTCAATTAACTCTTAATTCACTGCTCACTTTCTAAATTCTATGTATGTCTGTTATAGAGTATATATGTAGGGCTTAGGAGATACGCACTTGTTAGTATATATGTGGATAAACCTCACTTGGACAAGGAAGATATAAATGAGATAGAATGACATTATAGAAAGGAGCTCGTAACACAAGATGTTTTTTTTGTAGTATGCTACTAACTATTTTTTTCTTAGTATGTGTTTAATATATTCTTTATTATTTGTTAATGTTATTTGTGCTCTCTAGCATTAACTAGTGCTTGAATTGGTTTGGAATGTGTACAAAGTATTAGTTTGTTTTCATAAATATTTTTATTATAATGCAGAATGGTAGACAAAGTGTTTTCTTTGAACTTCATCACTGGAGGAACATTTCTGAAGACCAAATACTCTGGTGGATATCATAGGAAGATTAACGATGCAATAGATGTGGAGAGATTTTCTTATGCCGTCTTGATGGAATATGTGAAAGAAGACTGTTCTTTTTGAAGAAATTGGAGGTGTTTATATTCCCAATGCCAACAAAGTAGGATGGAAGTTGGTCACAAATGACAATGATGTTATAAATTATGTGCTTGCACATGAAAACGATGATGTTATTGATTTTTGGATTGACAATGTATCTGATGAGGAAATCCCTCCAATGGATCAGAATCAACCACATGTTATTGTAAGGCCAAGAAAGTGCATCTTAACAGGTACATATACAGAATTCATCATTTTTAATTTTATACTTGTTATTATTAACATGATTTTAAGTTTAATTTGTCATATTTGAACACTGGTATGCCATTATTTGTTTATAGGATCAAGTAATCCACCAAAGAGAAATGTTTTCATGCTAAAGTCTGCTCAACAACAGCATCATGAAAAACCAAAAGAAAAAAAAATGCATCACAGAAAAGAGCAAAGTGAAGGCAAATGACAAGTTGGGTGTCAAACATGTTGATGAACACGTGAGTTCATTTATTTATATAATTACAAAAAAAAAACTAAACTTCAATTACTATTTTCCTATGTATTTCATCCTCATCCCTTTAAATGACCAGGATTCACATTTTGGTGAGGATGATATGAGTCCATTCAAGGCAAGATCATATGAACAGATCAGGTCGGAAAACATTGAAGCTAACAATGAACGCTTGACTGCACTTGGGCTGAGTAAGTTATCTGTAGAATTGGATTCTTGTGGTCCAGAGAAGAAAAGGAAAAGAAAACTAGGGAGTCTAAAAGAAGGCCATCAGAAAACGAAGGTAGGAAATGTGAAACAATAATAGTTTTTATATTCTTTAGCTAAAATAATTATTTGTAATGCAGGCCATGGTGAAAAAGACCAAGGAAGCATCTCGCCCTAAAACACGCTCCAGATCCAATGTGCATCAACTGCTTGATGAAAATGAATGTGTAGTCCCAACTTCTACACAGGTACTATTTGTAGTCAGCAAGGAAGTTATTATCTTTATGATAGGTTCTTAGAATTTATATTTTTCTGGCTTATTTTTCAAAAGATCATTACTGAACTAGTGAAGAAGTGCACTCGTAAAAAGCCCTTGAAAGATCACAATGAATTAAGAAATGGAGAGATAGGATCTATGTCTGCATATCTAGCTTTGAAGAAGAAAAGGCAAACGATTGAAGTCAGACATGAGGAAGATTCAATCGACATGCAGGATGCAGTGCTTCAACATGACAATGCTGAAATGGGACAAGAAGGACCTAAGAAAATTACTGAAGAAAATCAGCGAGGTAACTTATTTATTACAGTTATGTCACAGTGTATTTGTTTCAAGCATGTGTTGCTGTATTTTGATTTTAAGTATCCATGTGACAGAGAAAAAGTGTAGAGGACCGACAAGAATGTTTTCTGTCCATACAAGATATGAAGAAGAAAAGAAAGTGATTAACTTGAATGAGTTCAATCAACCGGTGGCAAATGATGATCAGGCACTTTCAGAATTCAGCAATTTCTTGGGAACTTTAGCAAGACAGTGTGTGCCTCTTTGTTGTGTCAACTGGCATGCATATCCTCATAAAGAAGCCTTGTGGACATATGTCCAGGTAATACTTTGTTTTTTAAAAATAAAGCATTAAACCTTGTAGACATATGTGCGGGTTAAACATTATGTGTATATTGCTTAAAATGTAATGTTTGCTTCAGGAAAAATACACAATATCTGATGAGGGGAAAGCTTGGGTATTGAAGACCATTAATGATACATGGAGATGTTACAAAGCTAGGATTAAAAAGAATTATTATAAAAAGTTCTCTACTAATGCCGAGAGATTGGAAAACAGGCCTCAGGAGATACCCAAGGATGAATTTGAGTTGGTTGTGCAATATTGGGGACGCAAAGAGGTCCAGGTATACACAATGTTTCCTTTTCACAAAGATTAGTAAAATAAATATAATGTGTATACTATGTTGCTAACTTCTATTATTAGGAAAAAGCTGAGAAAAACACTTCCAATCGAAAGAAAGTAAAGGATACACACACTGTTGGACCACACAGTTTTGCCCAAGTTCGCGAAAAATTGGTGTGTTTATATCATATTAAATTCAGATTTATGTGACCAGTATCATTATGTAAGAAGTTCCCAAGGTAAAGAGATTTAACTTTTGACATTATTTTGTATTAGAAATCTAAAAAAGCGAACAAGGAGAAACTAAGTAAAGCAGAAGTGTTCATCGAAACACGTAAGAGAAAAGCTGGTCGTCAGTACGCTTCATTGAACGATGTGACAGAATACAAAATTGTGAGCAATTTATGAAGATGAATTAATTTGTATCTTAGTCATTTAATTATAGACTTTTTTTAATAGTGATAACTAACTCATGCATTAACGTGTAGTCCCAGCTTGAACAACTCATTTCATCCGAGCCGGAAAAAATGAGATGGTTGAGCAACTTATTGGAGATATATCGCATGGACCAAATTATCTTATAGGCAGGCGTGGGAGATCAAAGAAACGGAAGGAATCACCTCCTAACATTTCAAAACTAAAAGAAGAAATGGCTGATGAGATGAATAAGAAAATTCAGCATTGCTTAGCTTTTGCTATAACTAAATTGGCAGCAGACAATCCAAATTTGAAAGTCAATGTTGAAGAGCTTTTTGCAGCAATGCCATTTGATGTTTCCAATGATGAGCTTCAAGATGATTCCAATTCTTCCGATTCTAACGAGGCTGAAACGTCTAAGGGAGATTAAAGATTGAAATATGATCAAGGTTAGTCTTTTGTAAGAAGTTTAATTAATTTGTCAATTTAATTGATATCGAATCAATAGAGTAATTTATTTTGGCGTGTTTGTTCTTTTTTTATTTTCAAAGGGATTAATAGAACAAAAATGTTAACATCGAATCAAGCACTCTGAATGCTTGATGACAGCAATGTTTATGAATAGAATTGTTGGTATAAAAAGTTTATTACTAAATGTCTAATACTTATGTCATTTCGACTTACTAGAGGCCTAACGAATTTCAGCTATTATGTTTGATATGGTGGTATTTAGTTCTAAGTTCAGTTGATCTGAACTACGAAGTATCACATTAGTTTAGTACTCTGTTCATAATAGATAGACATTGTGTTCATCTTTAACTTTTGTCATTAAAAAACTTTTTGTAAATTATTAGAAACTGTGAATTTATATAAATAGTTATCATTGCATACTGAACAATTTTGTAGTGAATAATTTTACGAGTTATATGCCTAAATTCATTGAGTGTGTTTGTTCTCAAGTCTCAGCTTAAAGAACTTTTTATAGATGATGCTATGTAAAAGGAATTAATAAATTGCTTTCTTGATTTTCTTAAACGCGGAGACTGTCTTGGAAGCATAAACTTCCCTTAGAAGTGTGTTTGGATGGGGTATTTAAAAGGCTATAGCTAGTGAGTTATTTCTGTTCTAACATGTCTTTTTTATCCAACCATGCTTTGAGATTAATAGTTAACATATCTTTACTCAATTTTTTTGTTCAAAGTATAAACTTAATGTCCTACATAAACACAATGAATGGTAGCAATTGGTTTGATCTTCGTCATTCAATTTTGTATAGTACATATAACTGATTTGGTGTTTGATATACTTGTTTTTTTTCAGGTGCTCATGGTATTTGCTTTTTGTTCCTAAGTAGTTATGGAGGCTGATTCCCATTTTGGATGCAAGAACGTGAAGAAGTTTTTTGCTTTTAAACTTATGATGTTTTTGAAATTTTTGGGTTGTAATTGCTACGATAAGTATGAATGTATGAATGATACTTTAATCAATTAAATATATTAAATTTATAAGCACTACTAGCTTTTGCATATCATATTTTTTTGAGTTCTTGTTTGCTAAACTGGAAGTGTATGTCCTAAAATTGCACAATATGATCAATGAGGGATTGCAATTAAATTATTAATGACAATTGTAGTAATTGTATTAATAATGTTGCAATTCAAATGATTTTAAAAATGGTTTACGAGATATTCAAATATGCTTCAATATGTGCCAAAAACATGGTTTTAAAATCATAATAAAAGCATCACAATTTTAGTGCAAAATGTTGCTCTAAGTGTTGCAATATCAAAGTAGTGTATTTGCACTTAAATGTGTTGCCTTAGTTATTGTGAAGAATGATGTTGCCTTAGCTAAAATAGTTGCAACATATTTTTGTTTGTTGCTATAGGCATCTATGGCAACGGCCAAAATTTCAACACTTTTAAAATTGGAAAGTGTTGCCATAGATCCCTAAAGCAACACATTAGGGTGTAATGCAACATTTTTAAAGTGTTGCCTTAAGCCATTAATAGTGTAGTGAGTAAACCATTTATTATTAGAAACTAGGAAGTTACAACTGGTTTTTTTTAATGAAGTTACAACTGGGGTTCGGTTATTGTTGTTTCTTTCTTGCGAGAAAGAGGATGAAAGGGCTGTTCGGCAGGGAAATTATAGAAATCATCTGCAAATGAGGAGACAACTGCCCTTTCAAGAAACTTCCATCTTTCTCCTGCATCACTCCTCTCTGGGCTTCCAAGGGTGCAGCCCCTTATATGAATGGGATAAGCAGGGAAAAAACTAGGACTAGGGTTAGATATGTAGCTGACCTGGAACTCAAACGGATAGTTTTTGCCACATCAGATGTTTTTAACGTTAATATAACGGATGTACTATATATATCCACCCTACACAGCCAAATAGAGGTACTTAGTTTCTAATAATAAATGATGTACTCTTTACTCCCCTTGATACAAGTTCATGTACTGAACCGACACTACTCGAGTATTAATGTTTTGAAAAATTATTGCAATTAGTTTAACCGTTTAATTTAAATGCCCTTAGATTGAATTGTGCTCCTCTCCCGTTACTAGACTTCTCCGGTGGGAGAGATACAGAGAGAGATGTGAAATGGTGGGGTAGAGAAAAATAGAAGATGAGATTTAATTATTATTTTAAAGGAGAGAGATAGAGTGAAAAAGAAATGGAGAGAGTAAATGGAGAGAAAGAAATAGAGAGGAGTATGGCTCTCTTAGATTCTTAGAATGATAATCGTCCATACTCCGGTTATTCGCCTACCCATCGAACCATTTTGGCCACAAGTAACAAAAGTATCTTTAACCTAAGGTGTCGAATAACGTTTTAGCATTTCTCTAGTTAACAATATTAATCATAACCACAATCAAGTACGACACAAAGACAAATGAACACGATATGGAGTTTAAGGAGCCCGGATCTAAACACTACATTCAAGCCCATACCCGACACATGAACAAGCCTATCTATATGACTCACCTATGAAGTCATGAGTATTTTGTTATAACATTAGTCATTCATGTTTTAGTGGAATTTCAATTAAAGAATGAATGGTTAATGTTATGTCAGAGTGCTCATATAACTTCATGGAGTCATATAGACCTTTTTATTTATTTTTTACTAAACATGCACCACTTGGAGCAACAATTAAATTAATCTTACTAAGCTACAAGCTACAAGCAGATTAAAAAATCGTACTATTCATGCATTAACTAGAGAGCAAATATTTCTTTGATGATTTATGTCTCCTTTTAACATGAACTAATTAATAACCATTGGTTTGAAGGAGAACTAATTAATAACCTCTCACTAATGAATGTTTAGATCAATTTATTCTCGATTAATATTTCGGCAACGCTTATCCCACCATATGGCAAATGCAACTATTCAACATAGGGGTATTTCAAAGTGATTCTGCTTCTATTTTTTTAAAGCAGAAACCGAATCAGTTTTCAGAAGCTGATCTCCCTCAACTTCCAAAAAAACTGATTGTAGGAGCAAATTAGATCATCAGAATCACTTCTGTACTTTCACCCTAACACTCTAACTTCTGTTTCTACTCCTTCAAGGAACAGAAACGGTTTTAAGAATTAGATCCAAACAATCCCATACGCATCACCAAAATTTATTATGTATCATCTTGTTATGTAAAAATATAAGCACAAAACACTCAATTGCCAGAGTTGAAGTTCGCTTGATACATATGGTCGATTTCTACATCATGGTAAATCAATCCAAGTGTTTATCAATTTATCGTATTCTATAATGTTGTGGGCATTTCACATTTGGCTTTGGATCTTTCATAAAGATTTATCTTTCATTCAAACTAATCACGTAACTGAGTATGTAACTATGGTCGATTTATCTTCCTATCTCAAATTTGAAAAATAGTTTGAAATTTGATACCGTCAAAAATTGGAGTAATAACTCTCATTTAATTAAGGAATAAAACATGACAGTCTACCCAATATTACTGTATATTTTACTTTTCTTTAATCAAATAGTACAATTTTTAGTACTCCGTATTAAACATGTTTCAATAAAAATATTTTTAGAGTAGAAGCAATAAGAGACTCCTCAAATCCTGCCCAAACGGTTGACGCTGGCGAAGAAGCCTACCAGTTCTCGTTTATACGGCAAATACGATCTCCTTTTCGCTCTATCATTGGCCCGCATGTAATACAACTCGTGAGCGGCCATCCACGACGGCGGCATCGCCTTACCTCCGCCTGCAACTTTTCTTTTTGCCTTCGTGTTTCCGGTGACTTTGGATAAAGCTTTTCCTGGTTCCTTTCCCTCAGATTTCCCTCCAACTTTTGAACTGAAAAGTACAAAACCGTCCTTCCTTTCACTGTTACTCCGGCGCAGCAGATTTCGGATCTTCCATCGCCTGAACGACATTATAGATCCCGTGGAACTGATCTTCCTATAGCCACTGCCCTGCGACGTCGTTGTTTCGTTTAATTTTGATCCCTCCAGTTCATCGCAGGCTTCCGATGATGACGACGACTTCGAATTGCGACGATATTTCTTATCGTCATCTATGGACCACTCGTTCAACGCGATGCAAATCGATTCATCGGCATCTTCGTCCGAATGGCCATGATCTGGAAGAAGCTCACCGTTTATCGGAAAATCGCGGCGGTTGAAAACGGGAAACGCGGGACCGTTGAAGAACTCTTCCGCGGCAGAAAATTCGAACTCGACTCCACTACCGCGCTCATCTTCTTCTTCATCACAACTATTACATCCACGATTACTAATAACTTCTTCGGAGATTTTAGCTGCGATTTCTGGTAATTTATCTGAACAATAGCTGTTGAAACTGGGGCAGGTGTATTCACATTTCTCTTTATTATGCATCTTTGAATCTGCTTTCTGTGTGGCGTTTTTGAGATATTATTAATTCGTTGCGTTTTCTGGTATTTTTGGGAGGGAGTGCGTCCATTTGATGGACAAATTGGCAATATAAATAGGCATTAATTGCACTATTAATTGCAGTAGTTATTATCAGGGCAGCAACGTCCACGTCTATATGTTATTTTATAGAAAAATAAATAAATAAATAAATTTTACTCTACATCCCACCGTCATTAATACATTTCTAATTTTAACTTTCGTTTTTTTTTCATTTTAGCCGTATGGCTATAAATTTTTCTTGTCTTGTGAGTTCTCTAGTCGTTTCTTTAGTAAAAAATGTTAAGAATCCACTCACGCAACACGAAGAATCATAAAGAACATTTGGTAACTCAGTTCGCCACGAATAATTACGTCTAGGGCGATACCAAGCGAGAAATGTTATTAATATTTTCGGATAAATGAATTACAAGGAAGAGATGTTGTATTTATAGAGAGTAAAACATGACTCCTAATTAAATTAGGACGCGCGTGGCCGACATCCGTATGGCCCAATCTGTACGGAAACTGTACGGAAAACTTGCTCGTCAAAAACAGACTAAAAAATTGGATCGACGGATAGAGCTTGGTTATACAGTCTCTAACACTTTACAAAAAATATTTAGGGGTAATAGAAGTTTTTTTGAATTTGAAACAAGTCGCGTGGCGGCGTAGCATATCTAAGTATGCCGTGTTTAAACAAGACAACGAACAATACCCCATAGGCCCATATTAAAAATGTTAGAAGTAAAAAGTAATCTAATACGGAGTACTACGTATTAAGCTTGAGGGCAAAGTTGCTTCTTATGTAAATTTTCTAAAATATCAGGCAATATTAATGAATGGGAAAACTGTCAAATAGGTCATCGAACTTTCAGAAAAAAGTCAATTAAGTTCTTCTATAGGAGACTCTGTCCGGCCGTCGCGATTTGGGGCGGTTCTCGGTGGAATTTTTTGATGAATTTTTTTGAGCATCTTATTCGCCAAGTCTAGTTTATTCATACCAAATTTCAGCTAAAATTCAACTGGGAAAGCATTCAAATTAATTTTAGAACGCAAAAATGCGCAATTATCTTCAAGAATTAATTTGAATGTGTTCCCAATTGAATTTTTAGCTGAAATTTGGTATGAGTAAACTAGACTTGATGAATAAGATGCTCAAAAATATTCATTAAAAAAATCCATCGGGAACCGCCTCAAATCGCGATGGCCGGACAGAACATCTTATAGAAGGACTTAATTGATTTTTTTATGAAAGTTCGAGTACCTATTTGACAGTTTTCCCATTAATGAATTCTAAAGATACTAGCTAGTTAAATAGTTTAGTCTCATGATTAAGGGTGGTGTATTACATGTCGTTTGGGCCATTTATACATCGATATTGTTCAGTCCTATTCGGATTGAGGAGACGTGTTAGAGTATTTGTCTCACACCGTAAAGCTATAAAACAATACATCATTGTAAGACTTTAATTTACTCCATCTATCAAGTTGACCTTTTAAGATACAATAAAACTCCATTTAAAAATATCTGACTAATGTTACCACAATGGAATTTTCTAACCATTTTTTATCATAAATCTGTCCTTATTAGTTATTACAAGTATAAACTATAACTGGCGTGTAAGATATGATACTTCCTTGTAGAGAGACTCTTGATATGCATATTTTAATGTAATCGATTATTGAATCTCAAAATTTATTACTCTCGTCTCAACCACCCAAGTGAGACACGCCCCTACCCTAGCAATCACTTTTATATGTATAACACATTTTATGTGGCCTGAGATTGCTGTCAGCTGACACGTATCCTTCTGCCTGTTCTATTTTTTAAGCATTTCGATTCATATAATTGTTTGGTCATTTGAAGAAAAATGACTCATTCATATGAACCATTTATCATATTAAGGATGATGAAAGAAAATGGAAATATTAAACGTGAAGAAAAGACATAGGTTTAAATTTAACGTGAGTTACCAATATTGTGTTATAACATTCGGAAGGAGAATAATTATTGTGTTTAGGAGACCAAATTTACAGAGTTTTCAGAGTATATACGGGAGTATATAATTATATACTCCCTCTATCCCTTAAAACTTTGCCAACTTTCTTTTTTTGGATGTCCCACTAACTTTGCCACTTTCCTTTTTAAGTAAAGAATTTGTGGTTCCAGTTAATTCTCTCTCCTTTGCACAAATCTCAACCACACAGTTTTTACTTTATTAATCCCCGTGCCGGTCAAACTTGGCAAAGTTTTAAGGGACGGAGGTAGTATAACATGATGGGTAATTAGTCGGGGAATATTAAGAGAAAGGTGACAAGTACTATCACGAAAAAGTCAATTAAATTCTCTCAACTTTTAACAAATCAATCAAATTTCTTAACTTTGTGAAAACGTTCAATTGAGTCCACTACTAGATTATCTGCCCTTCAGCAAGTCACTTGCTTACGTGGCACACATGTGATAGCCAAGTCAGCAGTGACTTTGCTAACGTGGTGCACACGTGAAAGCCAAGTTAGCCATTTAATGATGATGTGGTGCACACGTGGACAATCACCTGTGTGCCACATCAACGGGTGACCTGCTGACACGGCAGCTAACCTCCTAATTGATTCAATTGAACGTTTATTAAAGTTCGAGGATTTGATTGATTTCTTTTAAATTATGAGGAGCTAATTAACTTTTTTGTGGTAGTACGTTCTACGTTAATCAAATTGAAAGTTTTCCCTAGTATTATTAGTAAGGGAATATTAGATGGCCGATCGATGGGTGTATTTGAAAGTGAAATATCTGTTTCTTCTTCTTCTTTCTTTAACTCTGGGGGAGGGGGGCCTTGAATATTCAGGGCTGAAACTCAATCTATTGAGTTTTGAACTCTTATGTGCCTAGCGAGTTTCGAACTCGAGACCTCTCACTGGCACGATAATCTCACAACCAGCTGGGCTGAAAGTAAAATACCAGGAGTTCGTATAACATTTGTGAAAATGTTTTAAAGAGTGGCTAGTGGCAACAAACAATGATATGAAAATGATTGTTGGGAGAGATTTAAAGGGTCGGTTTGAAAGTGAAAACACTCTTAAAGGGTTAAAATCCGTAATATATCTTGTTTATTAAACTTTTCATTTAAATTGATTTCAGTTTTATTTAGATTACGGGCTTGTTTGGTACTTTACACGTTAAGTCTTTGCACGCGAAGTGATTGCATACAAAGTATAGGGAATCAATCATTTTGCATGTAAAAGAGATTATTACATTGTTTGGCTAGATGTGTAATTTATTTTTAAATTGCACACAAAGTCGTTGCAGTGCTTCGTAAAAGGCATGCAAATTAAAGTATTTTACCACCCTTCCCTTACGTAAAATACTTTACATGGTACAGTGTGAAATGTTTTAAAAAAGTGTCCTACAATTTACATTAAATAATCAAACCAAACAGTGTAAACATTTTACGTCTTTTCACTTCACATGCAAAGTAATTATTTTACATCCTACCAAACGCCCCCTAAATTAGTTTTAAACAGATAATACAGGTCTCTCATCAGACCGGACTTATTAGATACGTAGTAGTATTATAATAAAATACATAATACATCAGATCATGTTAGCAGTTAGCTAGATCAGTAAACAAATCACAACTTTACCAAAAAAAGTAAACAAATCACAGTAGATCAGATTTAAATAACTTATAATAGAAATATGGAGTACAATATATAAGTATAGACGACCTCGTTTGTTTATAATGATTTGTACGATAAAATGCGTGGTTGGGGTTCTTCAATTGGAGTCATTTGGAGAGAAAATGGTTATAGTTGTTGAATTGAACACGATACACAAAAAAAATACGTAGTAATGTACTCCGCCCAAACAATTTTTTTAGTAATATACGAAGTAATATGCAAACACTTTCAACAATTCCTATTTTTAGTAAATGTTAATTTTATAAAAACAATACCAAATTTGTTTATTAAATTAAAGTCCATATATGTACGAGATGAAAACAGTGCTTAAATTGTCATTTTAATTCATTTTCAACAGTGCTTAGTTCGTACAATCGTACTCCGTATTATTTTCAATCAAATTAATACTTACTAAAATTGATAATTAATCAACAAGTTTAATTATAAGGCTGAGTGCATCCCTATTTGTGGAATTGTTTGAAAATTAATTGGTGACATGGAATATTATAATGTCTGTAGAATGATAGCAATTGTAGAGTAAAATATGAATATCATTATTTGTGAAAAATAATGACGAGAATCTGTCAAACCAACTTAATTTTTTGTGGAAACAACTTAATTTTGTTCGAACATAAAATTTATGATTTATTTTCTTTTATTCTTTAATACTCCGTATTGACTATCATTAAAATGGAGGATGTGAATGCCTTTAAAAGGTTTCAGATTCAACGATCTGAAATGATCATGATTATTTCGCAGGGAGAAGGATGAATCACTCCCGTATTAATGGAGGATCGATGATTCGCGTAAAGTTCTGGATGCATTCTCTTAAATAAGGACCTGTAAATGCCCATATCCTAAGCCCATACTATTATTCTAACCGCAAAAATCTTTCTCAGGTTCAGTAAATACATACCATTACGTACTCCCACCCTCTTGATTAACTCTGCTAAGTTAAAAAAATTACCGAAGTACGGAGTAGTTTTTAAGATAATCATTACTTTTAAATGATCTGTCATTTGACTTATACGAAGTAATACATTACGCAATTGAGGAATTATAACGATCAGCACAAACCTTTGAACTAGAATGAGGAGTTGTTTATAGTGATGAACAATGTCTTTGGGTTGTTTACTTGTTTCGATTAAGTTGTGTTTGGATTAATTAAGTAGTACTCCTATGGATGGATATGAAGTTGTTTACTTTCTTTGTTGGATAGACGATCTGAATTGAGTAAAAAAAATCAATTTAATATTGCGTATTATTCTTGAGTTGTAAAACCAATAAGAAATTTCATTTATTAACATAAATATATTTCATAATTAATTTTAAAAGAATTAACAGAAAAGACGTTTTAATAGATTTTTTAATGGAAATGAGTACGTACTATATTTCAACTTAATCGATTAAGTCTGTTTTTTAACTGAATAATTAAGTCGTAAATAAAAATGACTTAATTAATGAACAATTAAGTCATTATTCTCATTAAGTCAAAAATAAACAATCCTTTGAATATTCTAACTTGTTGGAAAATGTGTTAAAAATTGCATTAAATGGTAATTTTGGGGCAATATTGTGAGTGAGATCCACTTCCGATTTGGGTCGGGTCAAAGTGGTTTCGGATTGTCTTTGTTAAAGGCTATAATTCGATATATGGTACGCTCAAAACGAATAACGGGTGAACGAGAAATTTATTCTCGAAGTTTGCTTGTTAGAATGGAAAAACTGGGAAACGGGGGGGTGTGTGCAAATCAATTTGCGTGCGCGGGCGAACGAATGTCGTCCAAAAATCTATCTTTCAAAGATACGATTTAATTTTTGTTTCTTCCCGTGACGGACAAAACATGTCTTCCGCAGCAGAACTGCTCGGACAAAAGACCTGGGTCCTCTGCTGCGGAGTTCGGACAGAAGAACAATTCTGGTTCGTTACAGCAGTTAATGTCCAACGTTATTGTCTTTTAACACCTCTGGCACTCCGAAAAATTCCTCTGCGTTCTTGCTTTGTTTCCGTTCGCTAGACCTTTCGTTTGTCTGTTCAAACGATAGTTCCTTAGTTATCGTATCCTGAGAAACGATCATTGTAATGCTCCTAGCACCCCGGGAGACGACGAATACGTGTTAACGACATCGTGCGTAGCACGAGCTTTGACTAAATTCTGCTCCATCTCTTTCTCATTTTTCCTTCGTCATTTAAATCAATTTTAATTAATTAATTTTTCTTTATTTTCCGAAATAAAGAACACAAAGAATTCCCTAAATCGGACTAATGAGTTCAATTTAAATTAATTTTAAAAAGTAAAAACGTGAAAGGTCATGAGTTCAATTCCCTGCTCGGACCTTTCAATGTTTAGTCCTATTTTGTCCTAAATAGGACTAATGAGTTCCTAAAAAACACAAATAGAACTACTACTATTTAAATTCCCTAAATAGGACTAAACATTGATTTTCTACCCTAAATACCCCTAAGAGTATTAATTCATAATGAAATGCTTTAATTCATAATAAAATCTTTAAAAAAACATAAAAAAAAATTATAAAAACATTATAAAACATTTATAAAATAAAAAATTTAATTTTTATTTTTTTAATTTTTTTAAATTTAAAAATATTTATCTCGTATACTACTCATTCTTTATTTTATTAATAAAATAAATTTTAAATTTAATTTTTTCATACATCAGCAGAATCAGTCAATACAGCCACTTAAGCCCGAACTTAATAAATTTCAGCAAAATCAGCCGATTTCAGCGTTACCAAACGGGCTCTAAATTAAATTACTAAAATTTAAAATTGTTGTAATGCAAAAACTACAACCAATTGTACATTGACCTTTATATTATAGGCCTAAAAGAAGATTTTAATCATATGTTAAAAGTCAAATGAACAGAATTTAAACTGTCCCGGAGTAAAATTCATGGATTAGAGCACTCTTGCCTGAAACTTCAAATCCAAAGGAGAACCCATCAATCAAAAAAGGATGGCATCAACATGGCATAATGGAGACAAAAAAGGATGAACCTTAGGAAAGATATAATAACCAGGCCGAAGAATAAAACACAAGTCTGCCAATGCCGCATGATATCAAGTAGTACATGGGAAAAAAGAACACAAAGAATTATCAGCAAACAATGACTTCCTTTGGACTGGCTTCTGATGGATGCAGCATATTACGGTGACAATCAATATCCAAAGCATCCTAAACAAAGATAAATTTCTCATTTTCTTTTCTTTGCAAATCATTAAATCATAAATCTCACATACTACCAATCTTTTCAAAGTGATCCCACATATGATTTTTAGCTTTTCTTCCTAAAAGTCTTCTCAAATCATTGTAGTCTGTTTTTATAATTTTTTCTGGGTACTTGTTTATATTTTTTCCTTTGAATTGTTTAGAAAAGAGAAAACATAGGGGAAATTCCCAGATTTTCTTCTCTTTAGCTTCCCTCATGTCTCACACAACAATGTCATCCTCGGGTAAGAAAAATTGGGAGCATGAGCCCTCTGTTAACTGCACTTGTGGACAGAGAGCGCATTTGTGTACTGCACGGGAGAGCGGACGCCAATTTTACGGATGTCAAAACTGGAAGGTGATATAGTTAAACTAATTTTTGTAATCTCATTATTTAAATGTTTGATGTTTTGTGGTTGTGATTATGCGTTTTTGGGGTTGGGTTGCGGATACATTCTTTGGAAGGAAGACCTTGTATGCCCAAGAAATGACAGAGAAATTCAGCTTCTCACACAAGGTTCTTCTTCACAAATAAAAGTTGTCACACTTGAGGAAGGCATGTATAAGATTTAGGCTAAAGTGTAGTATTGTTTAGCAGCCAGTAGCATTCTGATATAATGTATGATGTTTGGTGACTTTGGTTAAATTGGTCTGATGTACTCTAAACAAGTGTAGTGTGCTGTGAATTTATTCTAATGTAGTTGGTATTGTTATGAACTTTTACTTTCTTCTTTCTAAATGCTCAAATTCACCCACATATGTATAAAACATCCTTGTTTATTTCTAAATTGTCTGTTGATAACTAGTCATGACTCATGAATATGCAGGAGCCCTCTTGGCCCTCTTATTTGAAGAGTGTGTTCATATAATTTTATGAAATGACAGTCAGGAATTTGAGAATGAAGCAAATCATTGCTCTGTGTGAGGTGGTCATGGGCTCATTAACTTTTAACTCAGTTAAGCCCTTAAAGCTTCTAGATCATACCTACTAATGAGTGATGAGAATCAAACTGATGCATAAGAAATTGCTATAAATCTTTAATGTATATTTTCAGGTGTGACCTATTGCTTATCTACAAACCTTACCACTGAATTTAGTGGTGCTTTTATGATGAATTCAGTTATGTTTGATCTCCAGGAGAGTGACAAAATAATAGGCAAAAAAAGTATTCCTAATAGGCAGTAACTGACAGGAGTATTCCTACTACACAACCATTAGCTAACCGAATTAACAAAATTATTCCAAGTACACACCAAAAACCTGCATAACAAAGTACGACCATTAATGCAAGTGGATATTGAAGTAAACTTAAAATTTCAGAACATCCGTCATAAATTCAAAAAAGAAATAACATCAATGAGTCACAATAATTCACAATAACGTTAAGGGCTAACGTGAAGGGAGGTAGTACACCATTACACGTCACATTAATGTCAAGGTAGATATTAAACCATCAATTCAGCAAAACATTACATAAATATACATTACTCCAAAATGAAAAACAAAGCAACATTCCCATGCTTGCTCATTATTGTCTTCACTTCATTTTCACGTCTCCCATCAGTACTACACTTCAACAGACCCGCCACCTCTTCCCCGGATTCTTCCTCTTTCACTTGTGCCTCCTCTCCCGGTACTTCTACCTCTTCCACCCCCTCTTCCACTGTTGCCTCCTCTCCCAGTACTTCTACCTCTTGCACATTCAGTCCTTTGACCTCCATGATTTGAACAATAAGATTTATTATGTCCCTTTTGCTTACAGTTTGAGCATGTCATCACACGTCCTCTTCTAGATATTTTTGCAGCTGGAGGTTCACTTTCTTCTCAGATTCTTTTCTTCTTAGGTCTACCTATCATTTTCTTCGGAAGAGGAGGGTGTATCTTTTCTCCACCTACCTGTCATTCTGAGGAATATAACATTTTTAAATCAAACTAACAACACATATAATGATAAACTGAGAATACAAAACACAAAGAGTAAAATGAGCATAATGAAATGAAGTACTTGTAATGTTTCAGTGAAGATTGTCTTTGGTATTAAATTTCCAATTACAGTTTTTTCTTTATTCATTAAAGACAAACCGATAACAAAGGAACCTACAAGTTAGCAAGTGAAAGTTGAAGTGAACCAATAACCAAATCAATAAATAAATAATCTGTCAAGTTTGAAAAAAAAAATGTCATGTTTAAAGCCTAGTAATGTCAAATTTGCAAAAATTTACTCCTATTGAGGGAATAAAAAATATGATAGTCCTATTTTGGAATTTCAAAACGGTTTTACTCCGATTTAGGGAATTCTCTCTTTTTCTTATTATTACACAATTCAACGTGCGAAATCAAATATTACGTGTTTGATGAAAAAGCTAGCGGATAAATTTGATAAGCTGAAAAAAGGGGATCATCAAACGGACTCCTAGTGTTCTACACTTATGCTTGTAGAGTTGTAGATCTCTAGTGTTCTACAAGCATTATATTCATTTGCACCCCATGGGAGGTTTTTAGAATCAAAGCCCTTCATAAGTAGATCTATGTCTAAAATTAAGATCTCATAGCTAAAATACTACGTAGTTTTTATTATCTTTTAATTCTTTTTTCATAACTAGGTCTGAAGTAACTATAAAAAAATAAACTAAATTTATTATTCATCATATTATTTGACTTTTCAAATCAAAACTTTTCACAAAAAATAAATAAAAAATTAATGTATTCTAATAAAAGTAAAATTTTAATTGAGAAACTTTTCTAGAATGAATATATTGACAAAGTGACTGCACTTCACCTAAGTACATCTATTCTCATGGACCTAAGTACATCCAAAGACCATAGGTCATTAGGTATTTAGGTCCCAAAAAGAAATGACAAAATTTTAACTTAAAATTACTAATTAAACTGCAGGAATTGAAAAAAAAAAAACACGCACTTGGAACAAAAAGAACACTAAATTTGCACAAATGAAACATGCAAGCCTTTAAACCAGTCTTGGGCCTAATTTTAAAAGTGCACACATTGAGCTAATTTGAACATTATCATCCATATCAAAGTCACACTCACATAGCTTGTTGCCTTGTTTGCCCGAGGACATGCTAAAACAATTGGTCAAAGTTTAATCAATGTGATATTACAACTGGTCCCCTACTCCCTATAAACAAGAAATGATTAGAATAATAAGTTTTGATTAGATACACAACTGGTCCCATATTAATTTTGGGCATAACATAGCTATATATCAACTGTTTAAACAGGCGAAGGCCATGATAGTTGACGGCTCTCAACAATGCCACCATATTCACCACCACTTGTAACTTCTTGCTCCTCACTTTTTTCATGCCTCACACTTCTAATGGCCAAATCGTTAAAACTTGTTTCGGTTCTCCAGGGTGGAGGAGTCACACAATCAGAATTCTTCCTTGATCCTCCTCTCTGGGAAAGATCCTTGCTAGGTGTGGCAAGGGACGATGAAGGACCAACCCTTAACGCTTGAAGTGTGGCAAATGACTCCCTCATTGCAGACATGGCTTCAAAGAACCTGGTGCATGAAGCCAGGGCGACAGGGATAGGGCGAAGCATTTCCTACATTTATTTGAATAAAAACAAATAACAATAATAAATGTCCATTATTGAACCATCCAATTGTACAATCACAACATAAACGGTTTGGACCCTTAGAGATGTTCCCAGATATCAGATATGACAAGTTCACCCTCACCCCCACCCCCCAGACCACTGACCCCCAAAAGCCCCACAACCTAAACCCAAGGTAAAAACAGGAAGAAACAAAAAAAGGCACATTTAAAAGCAAAATATAGACAGAGTACAACACTGAGAAAGTAGAATCGTCAGTCTTTTTATGTGGGGGATGGTATAATATCATATATGAATACTGACATTTTTATGAAGCCCTATTAGACTCCACTATAGAGGCATATGGACTTATGTGGTTATGCTCAGGCCACATAAACCCATATTAATGCGTCTTCATAGTAGTCTTACATGGCTCCATAAAATTCTGATATAATACTCAACTACTATAGTTGTGAAAGCAAAAGCACAATAATAATTTGACATACTGCCCATATTGTTGGTGGGTCTCTAAAATTTTGGCTCCAATGAAAGTCAGCCGCAGATGCCGTTAATGCACTGTAGTCGCTAGCAGCCCTCATCAGTAACTCAGAAAATTGTTTCTGCACAGATTCGCCCAGGTGTCAAAACAGCATCATGAAACAATGTATTTCCTTGGAGTTTTTAAACTATATTTTATGAAACAGGTGTCAGGTATCAAAACAGCATCATGAAAGAATTCAATTCATTGGTGTTTTTATACTCTGTTTATGTGTATTTGTAAGTTCATTTTTATGTTGGGAGAATAGGAGAGTAACTGATTAAGAAAAGTATTGGGGTAGGTGTTCCTGATTCTGGAGGCCCTAAGGACCAAGTAATGGTTAGTGAAAACCATATGAATATTAATATAAATTGAAATACTAACTAAAAACCTGATTTCCCATATCAGACAAAAAAAAAGTATAAACAAAATTTATCAGTCCTTCCACAAAGAAATTTGGTTGGATTAGAAACAAGAGATTCGTGATACAGATACAGAACAGGATGAGCAAGAGATACATGTCATTACTATTGTTGTTGTTATTGCTAGTACTATTACTACTAGTATTATTATTAAAGGATGACTCTTATAAGAAGTATGGAGTATAAGTTATGGAGTTACCGAGTTACTTTACTAAAGAGTGATATTTTTTCCAGATTCTTTGCGCTGGTACTATTGAAGTGAAAATGTGAAATATCAATGCAAGATTGAGAGATAATAAGCTTATAATTCAATTTACCAAAAATGTACCTGATATTCTGCTTCCACTGGAATGCAATCTAATGAATATGGTTGTTGAAGCCGAGCAATAATGCGGTCCTACGTCCATAAAATATGATTTGAGCAGAGGATATAGCACCCCATGAAAAAAAGATCAATACACTTGCACAATCAGGTAGTGGATGAAAAATACGACTTCACACTTTGACTATAATCCTTCATATAAAGAATTCGCTCTCAAAGATCATCAAGAAAGTAGAACAAAGCCATATCTGGTAACAGATCAAAAGATTTAAACGATCAACACTAATATACTTATGTTTTGAAAGTGGTGGCTTTGAAAAACAGTAATAGAAGTCTCGATCTGGTAATAAGACCAAATGATATAAATGATCCCCGTTAATACACTTATATTTTGAAACTCATTGCAATGAAGATTAGTAATTAAAATCTTTGAACATCTTAGAGGTTAAAGGTTAGAACTTCACAACAATCATACAATAGAATAAATTATTCAAATGCTCAGAATTATGTGTCCACAGATCTGTCACTAGGATCCCATTCATACTACCCAATACTAAATACCGCAGAGCCACTGCTGTTTGATTCGCTGTCTGGGCCAGACAGCGGATCTTATTTGGATGTTTTGGCCGGTAGCTCAGAGAACATGAGAGATCAAACGGTAACTCTTGCTGATGAACGAATCTGTGAACTCGTCTAAAGTCTTCCAAAAGGAGCTGATTAATGGATGAGGGCTTGTAGGAATTCACAGAACAAAGATTTTAAACAACTGCCTATCTTCCCGGTATCAATCAGATGAAGAAATACAGATATTAGCAAAGCTCGTTTGCTCTGGTTAGTAATTTCTCCCATGGTCATCCCCCTCTGTATGATATTAAGGCTGCCTTGAATACTTGATTTACTTTGTGTTCATGGGAAAATTCACTATTGTTTTCTTGATAAAGGATTATAGTGTATTTTTTAGACCTGTGTGGCTAATGAAACAATTTCCTACGATTGATGACATATACATTTGATTTTGATGTAAATTGTGAGCCCTCTATTTTACCAATGTGGGTTTCACTGCATCTTTTTCCATTGATTCATTCAGATCGAGCAATGTTATACTCTATTTAATTGGATTTCCTCTGAAAACTGATGATCATACAGCCTCCCAAACTAGACCCAGCATGGCTAGAATTTGTGTTGAGATTGATGTATTGAAACCCGAAGTTCATGATGTGAGAGTAGAAGATGACAACTATCCCATCTGCCAATAAATTGTATATGTGGAGGATCCTAGCCATGGTCCATGGAGTTGCACTCCATTCTTTTGTTATCATATGCATCATAAGAAGATGGAATGTTACTGGTGTAAAGGATAATACTCTAAAATTGGCTTCAAAATACAAAGTAGGAGGTGCTAGTTCGAAGAATAAGATGATGGGGGTGAAGGGCAAAGAATATGGATGGAAAAGAATAAGAAGGCATGATGAATTTGACATTCCAAAAGATGGGAAATCTAGAGGTGGTAGTATTATTGTAATAATCTTATAATCCTGACCCCCAGCAACACCTACTTTGAAGCTAAATGATGACAATGCTAGCTAATATGGTCTGCAATTTTCAGATGCTATTGAAAAATATTAATTTGACTCCCTATCCACCTCCACGATTTACGGTCTCTTAAATCTATTGCAAAGCTACTGGGGAAACCCATCAGAATAGATACCCCCACTGCAAACTTCTCCAGGCCTTCCACAGCTAGATTATGCATAGAAATGGATATTTCAGTTGATCTGCCGCCAAAAATCTGGATTGCAAATGGTTCAGATGGTTTTTTTCACACTATTGTGTATGAAAAATTACCCATTTTTGTCACACATGCTCTTGATTTGGGCACACTGGCTCCGTATGTCCCAGGGGAACAAATAAGCTGGTGCAGAACCCAAAACAGGTTTTGGATGCTACGAAGAGTGCCCCTGTTTTGGGTGAAGTACCTGCCCAGGCCCCTTCTTTGATGACTAATCATAGCCAGGTTATGAATGCTGCTGTGGCTGATGTTATTGATGTCCCTTGTGCTACTGATGCTATTGATGTCCCTTGTGCTAGTGATAATGCTGTTAATGATAAAACTGGTTTTGATGTTCCTTATGTTGATGCCAGTGTCCTTGAATTTCTTGATGTCCCTGATGCCTCTGCTAAGGATCCCCTTGCAGCCTCTGTTACAGAAGTTGATGCTCAAAGTGCCCCTGTAATAGAGCCTGGTGCTGCAGCCTCGGTTTGTACTGTATTTGATGTTGATGCCTCTGTTCTTGATGCTATTGAACCCCAGGCAGCCCCTAAATCTGTTAACAGTCACCTTACTGTTAATGAAGGCCAGGCAGCCCCTTAATCTGTTATTTCAGCCTCGGTTAGTACTGTTAACACTGTCAGTTCTGCCCAGGCAGCACCTGTTGTTGCTATTGCCTATGATGTGGCTATTTTACAAACTGAAAAAACACCTTCTGCTCCTATTAAGCCAGCTTCTACTCCTACTATTGTGGCCCCTACAGTGACACAGATTACAAGTGAAACCATTAAGCCAGGTTCCATTACGGTGGTTTCAGACCACAGAGAAGCTCCTACTGCAGTGTTGTCTTTCAATAATGCCCACCGGCCCTTGGATGTTGATAAAGATGAACCCTCAGTGGCTACCCGTTCCGTGGCGGTAACCGTGGGTGTTCATCCATTGGTTACACGTAATGATGATGCCAATGATTGCCTTGAGGACCGAACAGGAAATGATGAGACCCTCTCTGATCCACAACTTGAGAATACAGTTACTACGCTTGCCACACTACTGTCCGGTGATGAAACTCTTTCTGAGGAGAGTCAATTACTAACCTTTTCAGTTTCAGGTCATCCAGACAAGCACCCAGTGGAAGAGGAACTCATTGGCGGATTTACTCAAGTAAAAAGTAGAAAAAGCAGAAACGCAAACTCACTGAACACATCAAATGAAGGATTGCTACAAAAGGATACACAATTATACTGTGAGGTGGGATACACTTCTCACCCCATGGTTACAAGAAGTCAATCCAAGAGACCCCAAGATGAAACTGACTACTTCTTATATCCTGTCGACGGGAGGCTCGAATCGCCACACAAACTGGCTGCGGCTCTAATGAATTACAAATCATCCCGCCCGCAAGCCAAAACATATCAACCGTATCTGAGGAACGCGATAAGGTTCCAAAACAAATTTAACAGGAGTATCTCAGCTTCACTTGGAATTCCAACTTGGAATTTTAATTGCTAATGTATCTCTTCTTTCTGTTTTTCCATTTAGAATATGTATCTTTAATTTTCTTGTAACTTTCAATTCCTTGTACTTTTAAATGATTTTTAATAAAATTGGGAAGTGTTCCCCGGCACTTCCTCCACCATGTGCGGTCTGCTCCGGGGAAAAAAAGTCCCCTGGGCAGATGTAACATAAATGGTGTAAAGAATAACTTCCTTGTCTATCAAAATCAAGAGCCAAGTGTGATTAAGGCAGGTGTAAGTGTGTAACTTCCTTGGGAATACATTTCATGAACTTTCACTTGGTTCCTTAGTATTAAAAATTGAAAATTCCAGGCAGCCCAGTTGAAAATTTTATGCAAGGGGACCTTAAACTGCAGTGGTCAATTGGTAGTAAGAATTCAATAGTTTGAGATTCTCCATTTCATGTCCTTCGCTCTCAACACCTGACTTTGATTAAGCCATTCTGATGTACTTTACGAGGCAGGTTTTGGATCTAGTCCCCCACCCTTTGGCTTTGATTGTCGAGGGAAAATAAACTCTTATTCTTCTTTTCCCCTCGATACATATGTTTATATATGTCTTCAAGCGTAGGGTCCAGGTACGGGAATATAAGCTCCATCTCTCACAGCCAATTCTCTAATGTCTTGTCCTTATTCTATAGTAATAAACAAGGTTCGAAATTGAATATTGCTTACTTCAGGCGTTTTGGCGTACTGGCAGAGAAGAGATAAGAGAGACGGTGAGGAGACGTGTACATCGCAGCTAAGTAGTTAAATTGCTACTCGGTGGCAATTCAGTCAAGGGCCGAGTAGCGAGTAGGACCAATTATTAGGGATTACTCGGCCCTATATTAATTTAACTTAAACACATAAATATTCTTCCCAACAATCATAAATATTCTAACTTCCAAGAAAATCAGTCACCTAATACTCCCATTTAAGGGGAAATAATACGGTTGGTGAATAATGTAGAAAAAGTAGAAGAGAAGGTGGAAAAGTATGAAAGAGAAGATAAAAAGTAGAAAAAGTAACGGTAATTGAGTATTTTTAAAAGATAAAGTTACCAAAAAGAAAAAGTGTAGCAAACTTTTAAATACATCCAAAAAGAAAAGTGTAGCAAACTTTAAAATACGGAAGGAGTAATACTTAATTCTGAACTTATGTCTGAAAGTTATCTTCACTGGGTTCAAGGTCGTCGTTTTCTTCTTCATCCTGCATGTCCGCACTAGAGTAATCTTATTTTCCAATTTTCAGAAGGCCTACTAAATATTCACAAAGTCCAAAATATCCCAATTTACTTTAAATTTTTCAGATTTAACCCAAAAAAAGTCATTTTTTCTGGCTGCTGAGTCACTTGGTGAGCCAATCTTGTCACCAAGTAGAGAAAACCACCGAGTACACAGCGAGTTACTAGGGAAAATGGAACATTACGATTCAAAGTACTTGTCCACAAGGCCCTACCCCGAGTAGCGAGTACTTTGTGAGTACTCGACGATTAGATTACATGGCATCGTAGAATACCATTGTTGAATTATTTGAATTATTAAAAGATATCTGGTTTTAAGTAAACTGGGCCCAGATATTAGCCTGGAACACTTGCGCAAATTGTACTGAAAATAAAATTTCATAAGCCTTTCTGCCATCATACTGTACGCCTGCCTTGCACAAAAAAAGTGCAATCCTTACTATTGAGTCAAACTAGTTATGCCTCTCGTCACAAACTCCCTGCAAATCTTAGAGTTGTGCCTCAAGGCTCAATTGCATTGCGCAATTTCAAACAATTATAGTAGATTCATCTATGACATTATCCCTTTGGGATTTGAATAACATTCCGGGCCTGTTAATTAATAGAGATATTTTCCAGTTTCTGTTTTTCGTTCTCCAATTTTCTGTTCTCATTTTTCAGTTTTCTATCTGCAATTTTTTTGTTTCATTTTTTAGGTTTCCATTTTCAAATCTAAAAACATGTCCATGCATTTTTTTCACTCGGTTTTGAAACCGACCAAAAGACCGAAAGTACAGTCTTAGTCCGGAACCGAATCTAATACAACCCAAGTAGGGCACTGGGTCCCACGTATATGAAAGTGGGGACCAAAACCGGCCGGTCCCGGTCAATCTCAACAGTTAGTTTGATGAATTCTTTTCCCATTTCCCTATTGGTTGACAACTCAGCAGCTCTTTTAAAACTCTTCACTTTAAAAATGATTTCAAAAAACTGAGACTGAACCAGCAAGTCATTGACCGGCCCGGACAGGGACCGCCAAGTTGTTTAGGGATTGGCCCGGGACCACCCGGTTGTCAATCGGACTAAACAACGACCGTTGGGTCATTTTCCAGACAGGATGAGGACCGTCATGTCGTTGATCGCCGGGTCATTGTTCGGACCGGACAGGGATTGCCAAGTTGTTGACTACACCGGATCAGACCGGGATTGCCCGGCCGTCGATCGGAACCGAACAAGTATCGCCTGGTTGTGGATCGGACCGGATAGGGACCATCGGGTCATCGACCGGACCAGACAGGGACTGTCGGGTCATCGACCGGACCGGAACCGTCAGGTCGTCTACTGGACTGGTCCGGGATCGCTCGTTCGTCGACCGGACTGGACATGGATCGCCGGGCCAACGACCGGACCGGACCGTAACTGACACCGGAGCGGGAACGGATCCAACACTAGGCATAAGTATGCAAATCCATTGCAGCGGCACAGCAGCATCAACGTTTTCCAAATTTTGAAAACTAGTAAAAGTCACTTCTCTTTTTTTTGTTTTGGAAAAAGATCTGGTAAACGCAATTTTCTGTTTTCATTTCTCCAGTTTTCCAGAAGTTTTTTTGGTAAACACGTTTTCTCTTTTCTTTTTTCCAGTTTTCTGAAAAGGTGGAAAATATCTCTGTTAGTAAACAGACCCTGTGTTTTTATTTTTATTTATTTAACATAGAGGATTGATGCAGTCTTCTGGAAAGTGACTATCCAAGTGCTGCAGGCAATCAATGCTCAACCACCGTCTCTTAACTGTGGAATATGTAAAACTGTAAAAGTGTTTTTTGTTTATTATTTACTTTGAAAATACGAAACTAGAGCAAAATAGAGGGTTATAGAGCTTGTATGTCCTTGCATTAATGTAAGAGATCCAATAAAGACTTGAAAATCACTCAATAACATCGGTAACACTAAAAATAAAAAATAGGAACAATACTATCAATTGCTATCTAACAGTAGGTAAAAACTTCTGGAGCAATATCCTTATTATCCTACCAAATTCCCCCAAAACCACTCTAACAGCGACAAAATCTGGCTAATCCAATATTGGCTTACAAATCTAGGACCCACTGTTCAGTAAGTTTTATTGAAAAATATGTTTAACACTCTGTCTCTAGCCGTGGAAATTCTGGAGAAACTTCTAAGAAAGCTTGAATGCCATTTAGTGTTCCCTGTGCATGCTAGTTAAACTTCATACTAATATATTGATCATAGCTTCTTAAAATGATTTAAGAATTAATAATTTAATACTATTAATAAAACAAATAAGACAAATAAAACAAAATATAAGTTAGCATGATATTTATTTTCAAAACCTTTTGCAATACAAGATTTTTGACTCATTAAAAATGATTGGCAATTATAATTGAAATCATTAATAGTCTTCCATCGTATCACGAGTGAAATACTCGTGCATAACAGTAACAACCATAAAACTCAAACAACAAATGCTTGAAAATGGAGTAGCAATGACCAGAGTAGTATTTGAGAACATTACCTTGTTCTGAATAACATCTTTCAGTATAGTGGTGATTCTGGCCAAAGTTTCAATCTTTTTCTCCATTTCACTAACATGTGTCAGATGGGCGACGTTTTTGTCCTCCTAAAATGGGGTGGGGGGGTTTCTAACATCAGTGACAAATACCCATACATGAGATTTTTTGCATTGAAGTTGACAAATTTTGTTTGACTCAAGTCACAGGCTCACAGCAACCTTTCGATGAGTATTTAATACAATCGAGAAGAATATGATAAACAGCATTATAACTTACAACATCAAATTTCAAGATTCCCACCAATCAACTAACTACTCATTGAATTGAGAATTAAGCAACTGATTCAAATATTGGAGGGGAGATTGTCTGACTATGTAAGAAACCTAACTTTTTATAACGATCTACATGGGTGTAGTGACTAGCTGGGTGTAAGAACACTGAACCTAAAGTTGAAGAACCTTTGCAATAGAATCAGAAAGCATTAATGAAGAAAATAGCGGAGTTTCTTTACAGAAAAAGACTTGCATCAGATAGGTCAGTATGTTACTTAAAGTATTATCGTGTGGTGAGGGACCAAATGCTAGTCTATAAAATATTGAGTAAACAAATTAAAACCCTCAACTTCATGCAAATGTGATATGTACTTATATAAATTTAGTAGCCAGTTAAAACTAGATAAAACATAAAAGAGGCATTCTTAACCAAAAACCATCATTTATGGTAAAGAAATCTCACTAATTTATTATATGACACCTTCCATGATAAATGAGGATGCAACAAATAAAATCGTCATTGCATGAAGGTAAACTCAAAATTAGAACTAAAGGCGCACTCCATATGGATGTAACACTATAGTAACAATACACATTATCAGATTTTAATGATGAAGCCGAGGGGGGCAGGGTCAATTGGTTAAAGTCAAAATGTCATGCATGTGCACGATTCAAATAGCAAAAAGGTTAGTTTGTAAATGGAACCATATGTAATCATGTTCGTTTAAGCAACTATTAAAACTGAAGGCACCTATGCAATTCCTCTGTATTTTGATGTTTTGCTCCTATCAAAGTACACTCTGTGGGTAGGAGTAAATTCATCTTTTGGTACCTTAAAAAACTGGAAAAAGTGACTTCTATTTTAGGGCCCATTTGGTAACACCAAAATTGGCTAAATTTGCTAAAATTTGAGAAATTATGGCTGAAGTGGCAGAATTGACTGAATTTGTTGAACTATGAACTATTTATATTTAAATATATCTAACTAATAAAATTAAGGAAAATTTACATGAAAAATAGCTAAATGGTGTTCTACAATAATTTCAGCCAATTCAGCCACAAAAGTAACTCCAACTTTACTTATTTTGGTTATACTCAATTCAATGCTCGAAATAAAAAACTACATGTTTGGTAAAAAAAAGTTGGTTGATAATGTTAATAAGCTGAAATTATGGGTTACCAAATGGTTTGGTTGCTCTCATTTGTATTCTTTTTACTCTAAACGGCGATTGCTTTTAGCTCGGGATTCCCTCAAATATGCAAAGCTCATTCACTATTCATATCAGGTTGGGTAGGCCATTATAAGGCTCAGTGAGTAACTGAGTACATAACTAGATATTTCAATTCTACATTCTCACGAGACTCAAGTCATGCATCATATTCATTCTTTATGTAAAGGGTGAGGGTCTCCAGCTTTTTAGACTAAAATGAAGTTATAATTTTGTCAAATTCAAAGACTAGAGGTGAAATACAAGTACACAACGAGGTCAAGAGCTCAAATGGAAATATCATGGTAGTTGAGAGGTCAAAAGGAGAGTTTGCTCATATGAATAATGCTACCTTCGTCAAAAAAAACTTTGTCATTTCAAAAAAATTGAACCATGATTTTGATTGGTACGACATTATGGAAGTTATAAATTTTATAATTTATGAAAGTACTTTAAACAAAGAACATTTTCATATAATTTTTATATTATAAATAGTTTTTAATGGAGCCAAAGATTCATTATTTTTTCCATCATTTGCAATGGAGCCAAAGATTCATTATTTTTTGGTTTGAGAATATGATGGACTAAAGCAAAATGGCTCACTAAACTGTTTGTGCTTCTTTGTTATGAAGCAGTCAATCCATGCAATTTTGGACGTTATTTTCACTATGGGTCATCCGGAAACAATCTCTCTATGCTTTAGTACAAGGGTAAGACTGCGTACATCCGACCCCCTTACCCCACCGTAGGTGGGAGCCTTTGTGGCACTGGGGTAAATGAAAATGAAAATGAAATAGTTTTCAATTAAAAGATATAGTTGATCAAAGTTTTGAAAATGACAAAGTTTTTTGGGAAGTATTTTGCAAGCCATGGTCCAACACATACATGTGCAATAACATGTTAGAAGATAGCAATATCAGGTATATCACCTTCCTACCCTGAAGCTCAACTTGCAAGTCTGCCACTTTTCTTTGGATGTCGGTGAGCTCCTTCAAAACCCTTATCAAGTCATCACTCTTTTCACCAGAGCCACTGGACAAACTTTGTATCTCCTCCTAAACCACCCGAAATGAAAATCAGAGTCACAACCCATTTGAAACTCCCCTTCACATGCATTGAAGAAAAGTTCCATTCGACTAAACATAATCCAAAATGAACTTCGCAAATCAAGAGAACTAAAGCAGAAGCAGTTACAAAGCAAATTCAGTCCCATTTTAACGACATCTTCACATTCAGCCGGGATTGAGCTAAAGATGAAGCATTATAGCAACTCTAATCACAACATAATCAAACCTGTAACCCTTATTGATACATTTACTTTTCAAGTGCAAAAAAAATACCAGCATCAGATGGAGTTACCTGTGATGGAGGGGGAGAGATGGCGAAGCCAAGATCTGAGGCAATAGAAAGGGCATCCGACATCCCACCAAGGCGTCTCACTGCTTTCCGTCCAACCCATGTTGAGTCACTTCCCATCATCAAAATCTCTCCCTCCGGGTTTTGCACAAAAATGACGGCTAGGCAGATACACAGGTCAAATAAAATTGCCAAAATGTCCTTAATAAAATCCAATCGTAATTCTTCCCCGGGCCATGAATAGCTTCAACTGCAGTGCATCTTGCACTAGTTGCCTCTTGCAAGGTAGCTTTGCTGGAGCCAACCCTGATTGCTGTGAATCTGCCGGAAGGATGGCTTGCTAATTTCGAGCAGCCTGTGGGCCGAGTGTTTACAGCTGTGGAGTGGCAGATCCAACCCTTCTGTTCGAAGATGGCCTCGCAAGATGCTCGTCGCCCGCCCTGATACCTCACCGTGCGGAGACAATCCGGTGATGGACGCTCGCCGTCAATTGCTCCGAATTAAAGATCCCACGTTGCCAGTGCGTGTGTTTGTTGCAGGGGAGAGGAGCCGTATGGGAATAGAGACAATGACAAGGTTGCAGGCGGGCAAAAATACCGAACCTGTATCATACCGAACCGGACGGGTATGGTCCCTTATAAACTGGTTTGAAACGGATCACAAAAGTTTTTGTCCCGAACCGGACCGAACCGGTTCCAAACAATGTCATGACCGGTTCTCATAAAATGAGAACCGGTACCGGACCGAAGTATAGTTTATTAAATTTGTATTACTATAGTTTGTCTAAAATATATTAATTACTTCATCCGTCTCAAATTGATTTGCAAAGTCAACATTTTTTGTCAAAGTTAATGTTAAGTTGTTGATAATTAATACAATTTTTAATAATTAAAATTTACATATTTAGAAACCACATTAAAATCTTTCTAAAGTTGCAAAATCCAAATTAAAATATACGAAGTACGGAGTAGTTTTTTTGAAATGCCAAATTAGAATATACCGAAGTAATTAAAAAGTGAAATTCTAATTAAGTGAATAAAAAGAAATCGTTTGACCAAAAAAGAATGACTTTGCATATCAATTTGGAACGAAGGTAGTATGATATATGAAAATTGATAAATTATGTGGATTTTTTGGAGGATGGCTAAACTTTAATTTTTTTCTTATACACCTAGAAAAAGTGGCATTGTTCTTGGTATAGCATGGTACCGTCCCGTTTGAAAATGGACCGTACCGAACGGGTTTGGGTCTAAGACCGAACCGTACCGAACCGTTTCAATAGTAATGGTACGGGTACGGGTTCGGCCAAATATTGGACCGGACCGGACCGTGCCCACCCCTAGTTACTTTTGACTTCCACGAGCCGTATAGGAATAGGGATAAAATTTGTCGGCCAAAGTTTGAAGTATTTAGAGAAGAGTCCTGCTTGGGATACCCCAATTTGTACCCCAATCTGTACACCGTCTGTGTACACAGACATTTGGACAGAAAATCATGTCCTCCTTCAAACGAATTGTCTGTGTACATAGACAATTCAGGGGGTTGGGTACAAAATGGGGTACATTTTGGGTACCTATAGAATTTTTGTTTAGAGAAATACCTAGAAGCATAGAAGCATCAACTTCCCCTACCAGCTTTTGGCTTACACTGATTAGGACTATGAATAAATTAACACCACATACAATGTATTACATCCGTCTCAATAAGCTTTAATTTGCATGCTTTGAATAAATAATAAACACCACATATACACATGCCTGCCATAAATTAATCCACATTCAGGAAGGTGTGAATTTTGAATTATACACAATATGACTATAAATACTTGACTGAAATCTGATCACAAGTGGACATACATATATGCAAATTTGTTTAAAAAAACTTAGAAAATTTCAGAGATTAAGTAGAAAATTGGAACAAGAGCAATAATATAGTTGAAGACCTGTTGACGCCAAATTGTCTCTAATGATCTTTCCAATCATTCTTCCCGTGATATGGGATCTATTCCAAGAGATGGGCTACACAGGTGATTATGGAAGTGTTTGCAACTGCTTCTGCTTAAAAAAACACTTTTGGAGTGATTTGGAAAAAGTAGTTAGTAGTAAAAGTTGATAGTGTTTGAGAAAAAAGTGATTTTGAAAAGTAAAAGTTGGTAGTGTTTGGTAAAATAAGTGCTTTTTGTGTAATAGAAAAGAGGAAAACACTTTTCACACGCAAGCCGAGAAAAAGTAAAAATTGGTTGTGTTTGGTAAATAAATGTTTTTTAAGCCAAAAACTGAGAAGTGCTTTTTTGAAAACAAATAAGAAACAATTCATAAAACTCCCGAATAAGGGTGAATCTCCAATAGTTGATGAGAAAAGAAATAGAAGTAATATTTTTATTTTAAGAGTGGTTAAAAATTGTTAATTATTTTTATTTTTGAGTATTTGGATCTTGTAATACCGGTGAGCGCAAAATTTTACCTAATTTTATATTGAACATTATAACAAATATATACACATATATTAATATAAAACATGTCTATAATATTGGAATACATAAGAGTGGAGTTATGGAAGTTGAATAGTTTTTTCTTTAATTTATTGTTTTGCCACATGTCATTTTTATACAAAGGATGTTGCCACATGTCAACAATTCCTCTAAAGAGTTCTTTAGGGGTTTGCTTTATTATATTATATAGATTTGGTAAGTTTTTATTATTTACTTATCATTTCATCCTCACATCACTTTATTGAATTGATTTGTGTTACCCCTGTTTCACTATTCATCACCCCCTTTATTATACCTATTTGGCCAATACACCTTTTAATAACCCAAGGGCATTTTGAAAAATTCAACTTTATTCTACCTAAAAATCCGTGATTTCAAACTAGAAACTTAATTTTGGGATAGAGGGATATATCTAGGGTAAGGTGTGAAATAAAAGTTCTTATAGCGTTGACGAGGGTCATGGTGTAAGCACCACTAATAAGTAATGACAAATGACATGGTCTAAAAAGAAGTATTTCAAAACTTATGAAAATATGTGTACATTAATGAATAAATGATATGGTGTGTCCTATTCTATTAAACTTCGTGAGCACAAGCGATATAAACACTTCCCATTGCACTATCATGGTTTTACATTGCCATGTATAGTATAATCTTACGCCTTTTTTGATTATTACATAATCAAAATTATAATACTTATTTAGTGTACAACTCCGTTTTTATATAAAATAATACACATTACATACCATGATAATAAATTGCCTTGATAAAATTTAAACAAGCTATTATTATGATTCTAGATATATCTGTGACCCGTGCATCGCACGGTATATCGTCTAGTACAATATATGTACACACAAACTTTTGAATGATTAGAGCGCAAAAAGAGAAACTGATTTGCATGGCAAATGCCTCCATGTAAATGAATATAAAAGTAACATAAAAAATAAGGCTAGTTACATCTTGAGTCCTCGGCACCTAGTTTCCTGGACCTCCTTTTGCGTTCCAAGGATTGAACGAAATCGTGAGGCATAGGCCGGAAGATGGACTGAAAAACTCTGTAAGAAAAATAAGGTAGTAGAGCAGAGATGACAACAAGAAGCGTGAGGAACCAATAGAAGGGACTCGGGGCGCAAGCTTCCACAAAAACCCGATATGCTGTGTTAGATATGTTGGGTGGCAAAGCACCATAGGAGACTAAAAACAAATACCAGATAGCTATGCTTCCCCATATGAAGATGTGTTGGATCCATGTAAAGTAGTTAATACAAAGTGCCATTTGACAATTGACAGTCCACACCACACAGGAATATATCATCACCCCAAGGACTTCGTAGTCAACAGGTTGACCATTGAGCCGAAATGCTTGATGTACAATGGAGTTAGTTGTGAGGTAGAAGATGATCATAGCACATAGAACTCCATTTAACATCCACCCTAGGATGCGGGACCATTTAAAGAGCATATTCTGGTTTCCCTCCTTGTAGACCATAGGATGCTGTGAATGATGATAATGATTAAACAATTAGGCATTATTTGGCACGACAATAATTAAAGCTATTAGCGTTTAAAAAGGAGTATTTTCATATAAACTGCTGGTTGGTTAGTGAGGAGGTTATACAGTTGTTATAGGATCAGGCTGGTCTTATTTCATAAGCTTCTCTTAGTGCCAGTATGGTAAAACTTATTTTGGAGCTTATAGTTTACTTTAAGCTTTTAGTAAGCTATCATTGGTAAATAGGACAAGAGCTTCAAATAAACCCTTATTTGAATAATTGTCTCCTGTAACTTTTCAGAAATAAGCTTCTATGTTTTTATTTGTTCCCTTAATAGCCTTATTCTTTCACATAAAATTACATGGTACGTAGTAGCATTATCCATCTATAATCAATATAAAGGATGCTCCTTTATGAAGTTACCTACCTCAAGACAAAGACGATCAGACAAATCTTGGTCAAAAACACCGATAGCAATCACGGGAAGTGAAGTGAAGAATACATTATATAATGACATATACCAATCATTGTAAGCAGCCCGTCCAGAGAAAGAAGTAAACGCCTCAAACCAGAAAAGGGTGAACCCAAATGTGATATTCTTATAAAAGAAGTAACATATCTGTACCCACCACCAAAAATAAATTAAGAAAAATATAAGAATAAAACAAGTCTCACAAAATAAACACACATAGCCACTAAGGTTCTGCCCAAGCCTCTTGCGAAGCGGCAATGGACTCAGTAACATGCTGCTTAGGTTTATTGCTTCTAATATGTTCCCAAAAACAAATTTGACATTAACATACATTTTGTGGTACTAATTTGTCATACCAGAAGATGCATAAAACATGAGACTTACCATCATAGATATTCTGCGATAACACCAGTGGCCGTGAACCAACAACAGCCGTTCTAGAAAACAGAATTGAGCTATTGCATAGTCACTAGCCATGACAGCCTAAATAGAAAAGAGATTCATCAGTTGAATAGTACAAGACAAAACAATTTCATTGTACAATAAGAATTAGCTCACACCACACAAATTGGTGCTGAATGTAAAATGCAGTCTTCATATATAATAAAAAGGAAAAATATGCTCAGACCACACAAATATTGCTTAATGGAAAAAAACAGTCTTCAGACAAAAACGGAGTGAAGATGCCACGATAAGCATACAGAAATTCAGAAATAATTCCTTTCCTAAAAACCAATAAGCAAAATTTGAGTTTTGGAACACCTAAATGTTTTTTTTAAATAACCCGCCAAGCCAGATTCTTTCTGTTCAACACTCGAGTCGCATGGAAAGCTTAAATGTGAAAGAAAATAAACAAAGACCTGCATCCCCTCAACCCCACTTATTCCAACCCCAACATCAGCCTCTTGAAGCATGCTGACGTCATTAGCCCCATCACCAATTGCCAGTGTCTTTCCACCACTTCCTTTCACCAATGCTGTTACCTGCATGTCTTCAAACATTTTGGTAAGATTATTCAGACTCCTTGAGAAATAGAATTGGAAAAGATAAGAGTGATAATGTGAGTGAAAGTGTATCACTCACAAGAGCTTTTTGTTTAGGTGTAGAGCGACAG